GGTATCTTAAATTAGACATTAAAGCTCCTCTAAAGTAGGAACTACTTTCTATGTAGTTTTGCCAAACCCATCTGAGCAGCTGTAATCAGAAAATTTCGGTGAAGTTGTCCGTCCAAGTTCAATCTTATGTACGTAACCTTTTGAGATCAAATCGAGTGGCGATAAGGGAGCTACAACATTTGCTTCATGTTCCTTCGCTAACTGTGACTTCTTTTTCTTTCGCTTTTCGAACGATAACTGAAACACACTTTGTTTAGTGCAATAAAGTAAAAGAAAAAGTATTTTGATGAAATCAGTATTGAATTTGAACTTAGATGGCTGGAAAAATCTAGATAAACAGTTGAAATAAAAAAAAGACAAAAGTTAAATTGCAGTTTTTTTTTTGATTTACCTTAGCAATTTTACTAATTAACTTTTGCGACTTGTAAAAACTGTCAACCCGTTCATGCGATCCTTTGGAGCTTCGTTCTGAAGATTCGGCGCTACTTTTTTCCGATTCCGAAAACCCTGTAAAGTTTCAAAACCCTTATATTGGTATCCAGTAATTACCAGGAATTATTTTATATAGCTATAAAAAATAGTTCTATAACTAAATAAACCAAAAAAAAATATTTGGAAAAGAAACTCAACAGGCAAAGTGATAAAATAGAAGGACTTTCTCAGACGCAGATTTACAATAATTTTACCTATATGAAAATTATGTTTCACCAAAAATTTTTGTCTTTTTGTTGAAATCCTGAGCAGTTGTCTGCTAAGTCTGAAGTTGCAGTGAATAGGAATTGCTAAACTATTACAACGAAAATATTTACGTAATGTTCTTCTCAAAATTCTAGCGTTTGACAAACTGTTCTATTCTATTCTACAATGTAATTCTACAATTTATGGTAATGTTTATGGTTATTAATGGTAATCGACAAAACTTTCTTTGTGTAGATTCCTGATTTTGTGGATAAACAAATACTCCTTATGCAGACAAAACGAATCTGGTCATATTAATCTTTTCCTAATCAGCTGGAGATAATCAAAAAATTATAGAGCTATGCCTTAGTTTACAAGGTAGAAAAAATGAAATCCTAAAAATCTTCAAAACTTAGCTACAAATAGCGAGTTGCGGAGTGCGATCTTAACGGAAAACAAAACCTTCACAAAAGCATCGTTTGACATTAAGCCACTAAAGAGAGAAAGGGCGTAGGGAATTTCAAAAAATCATGCTAAAGACGATTTAAAACTTTGATGCAGAAAAAAAAGTAAATTACTGAATGAAGTAGTCACTGTAAGGCAGCGCTTAAAAGATTCTTGAATTTGTCCTAATTTCAAAAGCCTAATCCTTCTGGTAAAATTCTTTTGTCTTAGCAACAAAAAGAAAACAGTGAAAAAAACTTAAAATTATTAGATAGGTAATTTTGAAGAATTTTGTAAATATTTAGAAGCAGCTATTGCTCATATTTAATGCTTTTTGCACTAGAATTTTTTTAAAAAATTTTGATATTTACTTGTTGAAAGAACGAAGAAATTGCCAAACCATTTTTATCGGGTATTATTGCCGTCAAGACGGCCGGCATGATAATAAGACCATGCACCATACCGAGAGTGACCACAACCATAACTGTCTTGATGAACACTAATGCAAGGTATGAGCGCTTAAACATCAGTGGTAAAAGCGCTAAAATAGTTGATAAACCGACCTGCATTAGTGGCCACCCGATACGCGTTAACGTTACTTCCAACCTTTTTTCTGAGGTCTGCAAAGATTAGCAAAATTATACATTGCTTTAACCCTAATAAATGAAGTGTAAATTACTGCAAAAAAATTTTACTACTAACCGATTCTTTGGTTCTGTAATAATGATATGTTGTATGTGCAGTAAAATCTACTGATAAACCAATAGCCATTAATAAGGCAGCTGTAGACAGAGGATCCAAATCAACACCCCAGAGTGATAGAATTCCAAAAATTCCAATACTTATACTGAACACGGAATATACAGCACATAGGATACAGGTAATATTTGGAATAAAGAAGAAACACGCGGTTGCTGTACAGAAAAGTGCGGCCATGACGCTGGACAGTGCTGTTGTTTCAATAGTCATAGTCTTTAAATAAAAGTTAGTCAAGTTTTTTTTTTTTTTTTTTTTTT